GAGTGGTCAATTGCTTTGGCCAGCCTATGCCTCAGCACGGAATATGGAGTGGGGATTTCGTTGCACTTGTTGATAGACTGATTTCGCGTGAACCATGATTCAGGCAACCTTCGGCTCACGCGATTATCCCCTCTCGAGAATTTCGGCCTCATCGAACTTGAATGTGTGGCAGGGACTCGCCTAATGGGCCGTGACCTGAGAGTTGGCGTCATTCCTTCGTATCACTGCCTCGTGATCGTCAATTCGCGTCCGGAGCAGTCTTCCGGTTTCTTCCATTTAGTTGCTTTGTCCGCAACTGCACCATATCCAGTAAAGGACTCCAGATGTTTTTTTGCCGTGACAGTGAGTCTTTTTATCTCATCACCTGACGCCTCACGGTGGCCTCCGATCTGTGTGCAACTCCAATCCCAAGTGGTGCAAGAAGGCGACTAACGGCCTCGGAGACGTTCTTGATGTACAGGATCGCACGCAAGAATTTGGGGATGGCACGATTTTGTCACTCATCTCGTTAACGCTTGCACCGGGTGATGAAGTTGCGGGGGTAACCATTTTCTCGGAAAACCCGTCGAAGATATTGGGATTCGGGAACCTTGTCTTCCGGTTCACTGCAATGCGTCTCAGCACGCCGATATAGCGTTCTTACGCAACTGCGTTTGTGGCTGATTTGGTGGCTACCGTTCAAGTCCAGTATTTGCGTCGTTTTCGTCGCTTTTCTGAAAACTTTGGTCTTTAGACCACCCCAGTCAAGGACATCAAGGAATGCCAGCTGCTTAATTTATTCCTCCTCCGTCGTAAATTGTATGTCCGGGAAGCCGCTGTTGAGACGTTCTTTGAGCGTTACCACCTGATCCCGTTCGATGACGACGAAGGTATCGTCCACATACCGAGTCCAGAATTTCGGTCTGTGATGTTGGAAGACTAGCGAATCTAACCTCTGTAGGACCGCCTCGGCGATGAATCCCGAAATCGGCGAGCCCATTGGTTTTCCCTTCACTTGCTCGTAGAGTGTTCCGTCAAACTTGAAGTACGTCCTGAGACAGAACTTTAGGAGCTGAAGGACTTGGGCATGTCCTAGACGATTCTCCGTTTCATTGTATTTGTTTCGTAGGAGTAGCTCGTCAGTATCGATTGTCAGATCCTTGGAGATAGAAGTGAAGAGGGACGTGACATCAAAAAATACCATGTCCTCATCTGGCAAGAGACTTACTTCTTTAAGCTTCTCCAGGAATATTGTTGACGAACATTTGGTGGTTTCCGAATCAGTAGTCAGAAATTTGAGGCGCCGAAACAGCCCTTTTGCCAGTCCGTACGTTGGAATGCCTTTAAGCGTTACGATGGGCCGGAGAGGAGCGCCCTCCTTGGGCACCTTGGAGAGACCGTTGAATCGGGCCAAAGCCGTTTCTTGGGCTCTCGCTTTGCGTCGGTCGGTCGGTGTTATTGCACCCGAGTTCTCCAGTGCCAACAGTGTCGCATTAATTTCGTGTGTCAGCGTCTTTACGGGGTTGGTTTCACACGGGACATAAAACTGGCGATCCTCCAGTAGGTTCTTGACCTTCTGAAGGTAGTCTGTTCTGTCCACTACGACGGTGGAACGTGCCTAGTCCGCTGGCACGATGACGATGTCCTTGTCGGCCTTGAGTTACCTTGGTTCATCTCGTTCGACCTTTGTGAGTATTTAGCGAGGCTTGTGAGTCATAAGGCGAATAAACAGTCAGAAGGACTTGGATGTATGGATTACATCTTCACTCAAACCAACACTGCACTGTGCGAAGCCGGCTAAATAGGCTATGGCCACACTTCAACTCATTAAGCGAGCATTTATGGGATTTCACCCAGACAGCTTTTCAAAAATATTTGGCACCTACATGAGGCCTCGTCTAGAATATGCCATACAGGCGTGGAGACCTTGGACTGTCAAGGACTATACCGTTTTGGAGAAGGTCCAGAGACGGGTGACCAAAATGACACAAGGTCTGGGAGCGCTGTCTTACGAATCCCGACTGTCAACTCTCAACCTGTTTTCACTTTCCTGCAGGCAATTACGTGGTGACCTTATACTAACATTTCGCATCATCAACGGCCTAGACTGTTGTTGAGATCCCACTGCTTATTTCACACAAGCTAACACGCCCACTTTGCGCGGTCATCCCCTAAAACTACTCGCCGGGAAAGCAAGGATCAATGGAAGAAAGTTCTTTTTCAGTCACAGAGTGTTTGCAGCGTGGAATGCCCTGCCTACCGATGTTGTAACCTCCTCCTGTGTGAATTCCTTCAAGTGTAGACTTGACGCGCATCAGGCCTCCCATTTACCAGCCTTACATCCACTGAAATAACCTGGCACCAACTTAAACTTGTTTATACTACTTGTGCGACAAGGCCATTCTAAGCAGCCTTGCAACAAATGACGGAAACCTTACGGTTTTCGCAATAAGATCGCGTTGTTTAGTCTGCAGATTAGTTGTCATGACCGCATTTTTACTTTACGGTCGATTCTCTGTATGTCTGATTTGCTTTAACACAGACTCACACGGAGATTTGTGAAGGAACTTTAAATAATACGACAACTGTTTTTCCACCTTCACGATAAAAGACAGTCTTAATTTCATTAAAGAAATTAGGCACTAAAGCAGTTTTTATGATCTGTTCTAATCTGCGTTGTCAACGAAGTGCAACAAAGAGATTCAGAATGACCCTAAGTGGTACTAACCAGGGTGTCGCAACAAAATATTGTGAAATCGAGTACAAGTGGAGCGCAAGATATCTTAAGAAGTGACTTAGGGTTGTCAGACCAACTTTCTGGGAAGCGAATGAGTGTGCACGCGTTTCGCAGTCCTGTAGTCTGATTCTTCAATTCTTAGCTACAGAGTAGTAATTACAGAGCATTTCTTGTTTGTGCTTCCTTGTCTAAGCTACGTGTCTCCTTTCCCATCTCTCGGTTGGCCTTCATTAGCAGGAGTCTACGCGAAGAGGCCACTAAGGGCACCAGCAGCGCGGTCACCTACGCCTCTCAGGATGTAAAGGCTGTCAGTCTTGTTACTCGATCCTCCAGTGGTCGGTTTTTTTTCTTTGTGGACATTAAGTCGTGCGAACTCTGTAATGTAGGGCCTATCGGGCGCCGCCATCTGCGTTTTTTCCCTGGCCGTTGGAAACCAGGTTTCCGGTAGTCATAAAACTGCTGATAGGACTAGAACTGTGCACTTCCTAACCTTCGAATTGAAAGCGACTCACTCCGGTCAGGAAGCACTGTTCGTGGAATTTTTCTGCACTGAAACCGTTTTCTTCCAATGTCAGCAGTCCCGGATGGAGTTTAGGCGTTTCCTGGGGATATTCGCGGCTGAGGCAATAGACATTAGTTTTTTCGTATATGTTGGGAATTTGTTCTTTAAAACATCCGCAATTGCGTGTATTTATGCAGTCGATAATGGATGGTTTATTCGAAGTTTTCGTCAGTTTCAATGAACAGGATTCCACCTCTTAGTTATTTGGGTATGGATTGCTTACGCGTCCCCCTCTCTTCCCCCCTTGGCAGGACATCGAAGCAGGAACCGCACTTAATGCTGATGACTGATTCGAATATCCGGTAAGGGTTAGGTCACGGGCATGTTTACCCCTCCTGTAATTTGGCAGAAGGCCAACTGTATTGCGCGATCGGGCCGTCCCTACTTTCTTGTCCTGTTTCGGGGATATATGAGCAATCCTGACCGAAATATGTTAATACCGCCTCCCTAGGAATGCGTTTTGTTTGGAGGCTGGTATTGTCTTAAGGCCTTTAATGATTGCGCAAGAATTCTTGTCTGCAAAACAAAGGGATTTCATTTAAGGTTTGCTGTTTGAACGCCCTTTTGGGCTTCTGACATGACATTAAGGAAAATCGCTAACACTAGCGGTTTCACCTTAACTTTCTTAAGAAAGGTTGATATCAACGGGTGCGTAATTTTCTGAAGGAAGTGAAATGACAGAATCTAGCTTAATAACGTCCGAGGGACGATACCCTTAGGAAGAACCGTAGTCGATCCTGTTCAGTTACGCAACAAACACCTTGCGCCCCTGACCTTGAATGAATCGTCATCCCACATGTCGCTTTTGTTGATCTGACCTAGCCTGGTCCTATTTAGTATCCTTTTGGGATAGCTTCGGAGTCCGTACCCCTGATTCCAAGAGGTTGGAGCTAACACAAGCTTTTGCCGCCTCCAACCTAAATTTTTTGGAGGCAATCTCTATTCCAGTCTGATCTAATGGTACCCTGAGTTCCGTTAACTAACTCATTACTCGACCATCTTACCGAAGTCGGATGTAGTCAGGATGCAGATCATATCGCTAAGTAGCAGCAGGCTTGTTCTGACCGTCGGTGCATGGGAGATCGGCTACGCTCCGTCACAGCAACTCAGCTCAATCCAGCGCATGACGATTCGCCAAATGTCTATTTCTGGAAGGCTTTTATCCGACAGGTAAGGGTGGGGGGCGGGGGTTTTGAGCCCCATGACTGAATGAAACGCGATAACGCATTTATGTCTACTAAATGTGTCAAAGTTGGACTGTCGTCCTAGTGAAAGCTTTTCAGACCCAGAGAACAGCCGCTACTTGTGGCTGCTATTGTATTGGTTGTTTTTTTGAGCAAAAAGCCGGCGTATCATGATGCTTTTCACGAATTTTGCCATGGAAATACGGATTTTTGGCTTCAGCTTGGTTTGTGGGAGTTTTGCGAAATTTTTTTTAAAAAGGTCGCTAATTACTAACAGTACTGTTCTTTGTCGTCTACGCCTTAGGGTAAATCAGTACGAAATAACGCGTACTTCGTCCTTGAGCGGTTTCTCTAAGTCCGTTGCCGTGGCTATTTCCGACTTTGAATTCTACGGCTCCTGACGAGTCAACTCTGGAAGAGAGAGGGGCTCAAACTGCTATTGTCGACTGATTTGCCATGATGTCCTGCTCCTAAGTTATTGCGGCCCATTAGCTATGACTTACTGACTAGTCCCTTCATTCGATATCTCTGAGACGACTAGAGAAATACATTTAGTTTTAGAATTCAAGCAACCTGAGTATTTAGGACATAAGTACGTTTTTTTAAATATAATCACGAGGACGTTCAATTAGGGCATATTCTTTTAATGTTTACACTCTGCTTAAACTGACACTCAGGAATGATTTAAAATAACGGATAGTCTCAATGAGGCCGTGGTTAGTTTGTCATGCTGAAATCATTATAAAGAAGATTGATTGGGCTTCGAGCATCTTTACCGAAGTAGTGCTAGTCGGTTTTCACCCGATGTTGTAGATGCTTATCCCTTGCCGTAGTCAAAATAAGCCCAGTAAACTTCATTAACCTGTGTTGTACTCCATATCATACTTGACAGCAAAAGCATTAGGTAAAAGCCCAAACGTGTGTTAAGCAGACATTCCGCTACCTCAAAGCACTACTGCGAGGAGGTTCGGCTAATCAGTGGGTCACCCAACATTCCCTGCGTGCTTTCTGGTAGATACTCCTATAAGACGTGCTGCAAATAAGGCAGTCTTGGAAGCGATCAGCAACAATACATAAGTTGAATCGATCAATATGGACAACACTTCCGGTTCTGGCAATGCCTTTTTTGGTCCTGGAAAGGACTCAAAAGATTGAGTTTGTCTTTGAAGCTTTGTTAGACTGAGAAAACACTGCTTTTAACACAACTTTGGCATGTGCAACTCAGTAGTCGGTAGACTAAAAGGGTAGGATTCAATTGCTATGCCACCATATACACATCGTTATTTGCAGCTTCCGTATTCATTGCTAATGGTTGTGCTCAGTTCGATGATTACCCACTCGTCGCCATTCAAGAAGTTTTGCCAGCCAATGGACGCAACGACAGCGCTAGATGACAGACCGGCTTTTGCAGTGAACCAGCTGAAAAGGTGCTACCATCGAACAGACGGAAATTAGAGTGACCTCTTTCGACTCTTCTACTGCTACTTACCAGTCATGCTCTCCCAAGCTGCCTCTAGAACGGACGGAGAACTGTCAGTTGGCAAAGCCTTATGTTGCAGCAAGCATTCTTGCATAGTTCTCAAAAATCCCTTTATTTGACGCCAGGAACCGTAATCCGACGTTCCGCCGATAAGCGAGTGTGTATAAAATTTTGCCTAAATATCATTCTGTCAACTCTTTTTTGGTTGTGAGAATTGAATTCATGGGTTTTCGCAACACCACAAATAAGTGTGTCGTTTACTCAATCTTCGGACCACGCTCTGGTTTAGTGCTCATGTAATCATTCAACTTCAGCAAATACCTCTCTGAGCATCCTTCCGCTGCCAGATAAGCTTCTCTAGACGCCGCTTAATGCGCACTGGCCTGATAGCTGTCCGCTGGGGCATTTCGCGCGAGGTAGTGAATGGAGGTTATCGTTTTTGCGTGCTTTCACTCCCGTACCTCCAAAATAATTTTCATTATCTTCGAGGAGACAGTACTGGCACCACAGCCTCACCGCGTCCAATAACGGGTTTGTCTGTCTGGGTGATTTTTCTTAACGCCCAATTTTTCTTTTTAGAAAGAATAGAGGTTTCAGTACAAGTCCACGGTGAAAGCCCGTATATCTGCCAATAGGCCCACTTAAAACAGTATTGACAAGGATTTAGAGCGGCGTTTCGTAAAGGTAAGTGCTTTTCATCCAGCTCGATTATTTTTCCGCCACAGTAAATCGATACGCTTTGTTAAATGTTGCATCCTACCTTTCGTATACATTGTTTTCCTCAGGCGACGGATCCCTTCTTCAACTGTTATCTGAATAATAGTTACCTGAGGTTTCGCTGGTGTCGGTATAGATCCATCCATTCCATCCCACTCTCTGGTAGGGAGATTTTTGAATTCCCAGAATGGACTTTGCCGTCCTGACTCCCTCCTTTCCAAGGCCGTTTTCTACTCGAAATTACCAAAATGCACGGCCACACATTTTCGATCAAAGGTCTGGAGTTTGTAAGTTTTTTTCTTTTCGGGGTGCTGGAAACTCCCAAAAGAAAGGAACGTACCCATTAGTTACGGAATAGTCAACACCTTTATGGACGGCGGATAGTTGAGGGGCCTTCAACAAAGGTTACCTCCGAAGTGAGTGGGCTCTCGGATGTGACAAATAAGTGGACGTGGAGCGTGGAGTGATGGAACATTCGGACATGACCGTAAACTAACTTGGTGAATTAACCATCCGTAAAAGGTCTCAAACGAGAACCGAATTACGACAGTAAATACTGCCCTTCAACCCCTTAGGTTTCGCTCGCCAAACAGTTCGGAGGAGGTGGAGATTTTTAGACTTTAACTTACAAATCTGGAGGCTCTGCGAACCGTTTTGCCTACCAA